ACCTGGTACAAAAGTAGTCCAAAAGTAGCCAACCGCTCGAGCAGTTGGCTACTTTTGGGCTACTTTTTAAAAATTATTTGGCTACAAGGGCAAAAAACATGTGGCAACGCTGTTGTAGAGAGTGTCGCCTTTTTGCAATTCATGATTAATAAAAATAATAAAATTTTACTTACAAATTAAAATCAGAAGAAATTTAACAAAGTTATAAACCGTGGCACCGTGAACGTCTATTCTGGTCTAATACATCGATAGTGCTACTTGCTCATAGATGGTGCGTATAATTGAATTAAGTCGTATACCGAGCAAAATTTGTTTTGTCGAAGCAGGACGTATTCCGAAATGGACGTATTCTAAAGCAGACGTATACCGAGGTACCACTGTAAATGGTTTTTTCAAATTTGTATTATAGTGTCTGTAATTATAACAGCATGAATGTACTATGATAAAATATTTATAAGTACATTTTAAACATGAATTTTTCTGGGTAAATAATATGGGTTTTTCCCATCCAGACCCAAGTTTTTTCATATGTCGCGAGTGGCAATTCTGATTGTCAGCGTCGAAGTGATCCCGCTTAGCAGTAAGTCTCTGAGACATAAGCGAGGTTGAGGCGAGAAGTTTGACAATGGTGTTTGGATATCATGCTCGACATTCCAAACACCATTGTCAAACTTCTTGGCTTACAGGAAAGCGGCGCAGAACGTCCGATGTACATGTTTTCGCGTTTAAAACTTTGGTCTCAACCTCGCTATAGTCTTGTCACAAATACGGCTTTGCCGTTTTACTTGTTTTAGCATAAAAGTAAATTTACACTCAGAAATAAATATTTTCTAAACACACTCAGCTGATTGGAAGTCGATAGCGCTTATCTCTTTTAGTTGTTTGTTGTATAGGTGGCTCCGAGGAAGTGTTATTAAACAGTTCGTGAGACTCCGTTGGTCGACGTCGGCGACGGCACGGCTTCAGTATTGGCACCAAGACGGAAAAGATTCGTCTCCAGTTTGTTGACACAGTGCTTCCGATATTCGCACCTTTGTCTTGACTCACCGAGTGCTTCTTGCCGAGGCCATCTTGCGGAGTGCCTTTTGCCGCGTCCTTGACTATCGGGGATTACATCAATCTCCGATCTCCCCTTTTTGTCCATCCTGATTGGTTCCACGTTTGTCCCTAAGTTAACGAGACCTATTCGGGTTCCGAGAAGGTTCGCTTCGGGGAATTTACCCGACACCATCCGTTAACTCTGGATGGAAGGTGTAGATGGGACTTTGAACTTGCGCTCATTTTACCCCATTGTTGTCTAGTCTATGACGTCTTAGAATTTTAACGACCTGACGTGATGTCCCTTTTTATAATTAACCTTTCCCCTCTTCGAGATTTTCTATGTTCTAATTACAGTGGTGCCTCGTATAACGTACTTAATCTGTTCTAGGTGCACGTCCGTTATATGAAACGCATTTTCTCATAGAAATACATGTTAAAACTTATAATTCGTTCCGCAGCATAAAATAACGGTACTGTACCATTAAAAAAATAAAAATAGAGCAGTCACCAATTATGCCGGGTAGTCAGATGTGAAGAGGAGGTGGAGGAACACTTTCTTCACACATTCATACATATACAGCCTTTTTACACATTGCAGCAGATCTCTTTTTATTGTTTTTTAATCGGAGTCACATTCAGGAGAGGCTACCGGAGCTTGCAAGGTCAACTCCTCTTGTTCCATCCTTTGTTTTTTGGCAGCTGGCTTCTTGAAAAACATGTCCAAGGTGGTCTGTTTTTCTCTCTTCTTCAACACCTGTCAGAAATGTCGGGCAAGGGTGTCATTGTAGAGATCATTGATCCTGTTGGCCTCAGCTCTGTTTGGATAATGAGTATTGATAAACTGTTGAACCTCTCCCCATTACAAGGAAGTTTTTGTAAACTTTCACTCCTTCTAATGATTTCTTGCTTTGTTTCAATTGAAATCACCTTTCTGCTTCTTAGAAGTCATGATTTGCACAACACTTGAATAAATGTAAATACCCTGCATTGAGGTGATGTACAGTACTGTACGTAATAAACAAGGGAGCAAGAGGAATCCCAACGGTAGCTCTGTACTTCAGATATACTAATAATATATTCTAATAATACTAATATATTATAAAAATAGCAGACATTGTCATTGACAACGGCAAAAGAATGGAAACATCATTCGCACTTGTTCGCAGAAAGTCCGTTGTTCGCTTCACGTAACTGCTGAACGGAAAGTCCGTTGTTCGCAGCGTCCGTTATTCGATGCATACGTTATACGAGGCACTACTGTATTTGTATACGAGCGCCTTGTCAAAGGTACATCTCTACTGGAGGAGTTCGTTTACATTTATTGCGTCATGTTTTACGTTAATAGCATTTTTTTCTCGTCTCGGTTTCATATGACTAGAACAACTGAATCCGATCTTTGATCGATTTTTAACAATGGAGGTTTTTTCTGTAGTTTTGTTTTAATAAATTTCTAATATAAATGTCTAATTTCAACCCGTTTTTTGGGATCTCACATATTGTTAAAGGAAAAGTATGACATATGGGGACAAGACACTCTTAATTTGAGGTGGAGAGCATATATTTTAAATTAAATAAACGGATAATATGATTAAAAATTGCATTTCGGCATTGTGACTACGTCACAATAAATAATTGCTCGTTGTTATTCACCCTATCCTCAATATATTGCATATACGTGAAAAGGATAAACGTTAAAACGAAAACGATATTGCAAGTTTGAATTATTTTAGCCAACCGTTGTCGTGTTTTTCACCAAGTGTCTAGGAAATCGAATTGAGTGAAGAGTGGGGAGTGTGGAGTGTGGACGTCTATAATTTTCTCAAAATCCCGGAGAATTTTGTACGAAAATTTAGGTGCAGATCGGACAAAGAATTTAAAAGTTAATAATAGGAGATGAAATCAGGAGAGGGGTAAGGTGTCCAGATTTCGTGGTAGTCTATATTTTCCTCTAGTTTAAAAAAGAATAATTTGGCCGAAAAGCTAACAGCAGACAGACACAAGCATTCCAGTATAGGCTATATATAAAACTTTCCAGGACCCGTCTAGTCAAACGGACTAAGCAGTTCGGACAGAAAGTTCATTTCTGTCTGTTCTAACAGACAGTTCCAGTTGCAGAATCGGAACTGGATTTCCCAAGTCGACTTACGACTACCGAATGTCTGTGTCGAAAGACGAAACAGTTACACATAGAAATAAAAAAACACCCAAAGATAACTTAATTAATATTTCAGAAGCCATGTCAATAGATTCGCAATGGCATAAATTAATAGAGAGAGCTTCCACGCGTTAAACATTGTTTAAAAGTACACTCCGTTGTACGGAATGTTAGGAATGAATTGGATAACATTACTTGTCGGTATACTGTTACTCTGTGAACACCATATAACACCAGTTGTCAGTTTTACTCTGTTTTACCTTTTGTTGGGAATAATTCATATTAACTGAAAATGTACATGTTCATAGATACTCTAAAATGAATAATCTGCATTTATTTTTTATATAAATGATATGTTAAACAGCAATGATTTATACATTTTTCATATTATAGTGACTGGTCATACACCTATGTGATAAAAATATAGTAACACAATTTTTAAGTTGTTCCATTATATGACATGTAACTTTTTTAATGTTATTGTTTTTTACCGCCCCCCCCTTTTTGACGTCATATTTACCAATGTCGTGAACCTTACTTTGATTTTTATTTTTTACAGCACTGAAGAGGGTTGGGAACATAAACCAACCTGAAATGCATTTGAATAAAAAATTGTTTTAAATAAACCGTAATGTTTTCCTAACCAAGTGCTGTTTGGTCGTCTATCAAGAATCATTTTTTGGATTACAAGGACGCTACACAAAGAATCAGAACGAAACAGTTATTTTGACAACTCCGAACCGATCGAAACTCGTCCAAACATTTCGAACCCATCTATCTCGGTAAGAACTAGTTTTTCCTAGTAAAAACTGTAAATACTTCAAAAAGTAGCTTTAATCGGTACTAGATTTTACCAACGACAGACAACGAACTCTATTTAACTATTTACAACAAACCCCCTTCGTGAGAACTAGATTTTATTAGTAAGACGGATTATGGCGGATTTCGGGTTAATTTCGATATTTGCAGCACCGATTAACTTCCCGTGAAAAGAGTTAAGCGCAATTTCGAAAATTCTCGGAAATGCAAATAAATATGTTTAAGCACATTTTTATATTCGTCGGCCTAGTCGTTATATACCGATTTACAAGAATAACAATATGCTTTGTCACCTGGTTGTCATTATTTAAAATATGTTAACGAAAAAAAAATTCGATTAGCACTTTAATAATTGTCTTTGTTTCGTTTCGTATCGATTTAATTTTCAAAGATAGAAAATACGAACTTTTATGCTTTTCTTCTTTAGTGGACTTGGTGTTTAACCTACCGAGTTAGATGCGACCATCTTAAGTACGTACGTAAAATGCTACTTAATATATTTACTTTAAACACTTCGAACGATCCCAATTCTATATTTTGTAAATATCATATTTATTTTATCCACTTATAAATAAAAAAGTATTAGGAATATATTTTTATAGACTCTGGTCGTCTTTCTCCGGCCTCGAACTACATACAGTACTTACAAATTTCATCGTCGTCGATTTAAAAAAAGTAACGCGTAACTCGAATTTACTTGTTAGACAAAAATTTATTAATTAATGGTAATTAACATTGTGTTACGTGAAAATTGCAATAGTTATTAACGAATAGGTGAAACAACATTTGGCTTGGTAAAGTCATAGCCCACTCGACGGTAAAAAATTCGACGATCGACAATATAAAAATGATTTGTCACGGATAAACGAGTCGGTGCGGAATAGTATTATAATTAGCGTACGGGTAAACTGGACGAGTTGCGGGGTTTGGCTGCATAAACATACGTGGCACAGCATTATTTTAACCGTGGTTTTGTCGAAAAGTAGCGCAGGTGGGAGTTACTCCGACGCGGAGCGAAAGCTGTCGCACGTTATATTGGTAAAGGCGAGTAAATATTAAAGCCGGTAAAGGTAAATTTTTATTTATTTAAACTGGCCAAGTCGAATAAAATAAGCAAAGTGCGTATTGTCAGTTTATTCCGGCAGATATTATGGATAAAAAGCGTTTTATCAGATGGTCCATCTCCATACTCGGGGTAATTACCGTTATCTTATTGTATTATACCGACGCGTTTATAATTATAACCAAATGACAAATTGCACAAATTTTTAAAAACATTTTTACTTCTCCATAAAATTATATTAAGCATTCTTAATTTATATTTATGCGTAAATTTTAGTAATTTTTTGTTAAACTTTAATTTTCCAAAACACCGACGCCGACAAATATTTTTAAATAGCTAAACTATTTTCGACATTATAAGCGTGTAATTAAATTATCACTGTTTGTAATACAAAGCTTATTATATTTCAGTGCGTGGGAGTGGTCGTCACCATCCTCTGTGTGTGCACTATCGTCATTCCTGTTCCTAACGGTACCTTCAATTCGGGCAAGGTTAACGGTTTTTCTGCAGATCTGGGTGTAGCAGCGGGAGTCTCGCTGACTGTACTGGGAATAGCTTCTTTCTTCTTCTCCACTGAAGAAAAACTTCCTCTGGCATGCGTAAGTTCTTAAATCTTCTGGTAAATAAACCGTGCGGTACCGAATTATTTTTCACTTTTATTTTTAAAGTGCGGCAGGTAAATGTTCCGTTTTTTATAGTAAAATCACTTTTAAATAGTGAAAACTTATCATTAGGTTTAATCCCAATTAATCCAAGGCCATTCCGACTAAATGCGGGAGTAGGCTATTCGAAAGCAATCGAGTACCGAAATTTGGCGTCTCTTTGACTTACACGCATTCCCATAGTACAGAAACCGAGTCGTCCAGCAATTTTAACACTCTGATCGGTCGTTAACTTCCGTTTCCGTAATTATTGACTCGTTTTCCAATACACCCGCAAAGGAGAGAGCCACACGTTCGAGTCTCCGATTCGAACAAAATTTGGCCATCACCTAGCCCTAAATACAAACGGTTTCTTGATGAATGTAGATGTAGCGCTGCTAATAATGTGAACTGACATTAGATGGCGAAGAAGTTTTTTTTTATTCCGTTTTTCTTTTCTTTCAGGATTTTACGTGCGAAACTCGGAATTCATTCTGAACGGAAAATTCCCATTACGGTTACGTGAGCTTTTTTTCCTGTGTGACCCCAGCTTTTTTTTCTTTGTATTAATTTTCAGATATGACGATCCCTGCCATTCAGAGTCATATAAGCTGTTTTAGTTCTGTTAATCCGCATGTCCCTTTCTTCCAAAAACTTTCCTCCACTCTTCCAATTTCCTAAATAGGGGCCAGTTTCCCTTAAAATGACCTCCCGGAAGGCATCCCTCCTAGGCAGATCGCCCAATTGTTGTTGCCATAACTAAACGAACAAACCCACTACTAAAAATAAACATCGTGTCCAGTGACGGCGGACGGGGATGGGGCTTTTAGACGGAGTGTGTGACCATAGAACAGGGGTCATCAAACTACGGCCCGTGGGCCGGATCTGGCCCGCCGCCGCACTGTTCCACAAATGAGCTATAATCATTTCTATGAAAATATCATAGATTGTAGATAAACTTACTACGTAGAAAAAATTAAAATAAGATGCCAAAATTGGTCCAATCTGATTTTTGCATTTGATAGTAATATAATTCTTAAGAAAATCAGTAAAATGAAAAACTCGGCGACGTTTTCGACATTGGATATCAGAGCGCTTTTGTGTAAGTACGGTACCTGCAATGAATTTTCTAGGAAAAGCGATTACGAGCTTGCTGCAGTGATCGTCTTTGTGTATTGGTAAATAAATATGTAGGTTGTTATTATTTTATATGTATCAGTATACTACATTGAACAAAATGGTTATGCGGCTCGCGATCTTTATTCTCTCAGTTATCTGGCCCGCTGTGCAAAATGTTTGGTGATCCCTGCTTTAGAATACCGTAACTGCCATTCCGACCTGTTTTTCCAACGTTTTTTTTTTTTTATTGTTTTATTTGATGGCCGACGGATTTCTCCGACTAGCCGACTAGACTAATAAATAAATGAATTTTTGTCAGATTAATTTTTAAAAACCATAGTATTCCGATTATATATAAAATTGTAATCTTTGCGGCAAAATTTTAAAATATAAAAATGGTAAAGAGTGGTAAGTTTTCGATTAAAAAAAATAAAAAATGGATGGATTGTAGGCGCGAAATATCATAATTAAAATTTCTTACTAAACACTTAGGAGTGAACGGATAAACCTACGGGGAAAGCATTTCTCGGTAGCTTATTTACCCATTGGTTAATTAAGGGTTTTCGAGTTTCTGGACGGCACCGAGAGGTTTACGTCGACGCAACAATTCTACGTAACAAGATCTAGGGAAATGTCGTATGGTAGATTGTTACGAGTCACCGATAAACCCATGCACGAAATCTTGATTTTTAGCCCGATCTCCGTAACTTGAGACTAATTCCGAGTCAGAACTTTTCCTCTACCGATTCGAGTTAACCGTTACCTTTCACTGTATTACCTTTGATCAAAACGTCATTTATTCTAAGTTTAACCGTCAGCCGCTTTTTTTTAAACCCTTTACGCCCCGTGGGCACTAAGAGGGCCTCATTTTGCAAGCCCATTATGGGTTCGGGCAGGCCCACGATGGGGCTGCCGATTGGTGAAGGACGGGGCCCGACAAATCCGAATGGATCACCCCCGAAAAATTCCTGGGGAATTTTTTACCCGTTCGAATTCGAACCCGGGTCCCCCAGAGCAGTAGGCTGCCACCTTGACCGCTCGGCCATCCGGCTGCTGCCGTCGGCCGAGCTTAGTACACAATACCGATAAAACAAACTTAACTTCATTTTTCAGTCTTTAATTAATAATTTATATCGATGCCTTTTATTTTATACAATAGTTATGTTTATCGGTACCGATAATAATTGCAATTAGACTGATAAATTAGAAAAGCATCTCGAGGAAAACAATATTTCTGTTATCTTTAATTGTAGAATGTCCATCAGGAAAAACAATCCAATATTTGGGAATATTTTCATATTGACGAGAGAGGCAAACAACTTGCAAAATGCATTTTATGTAAAAATCAGGTGTACAAAACATCAACAAACGCGTCAAATTCGAGGGTTTGTATAAAACGTTTACATGCTATTGAATGTAGAAAAAATCATATTAGCAATAATTACGACGCGACGTCAACATCTAAAGTTCGAGATTTAGAAAACTCGTAATCGAAGTGGCCGTTAACACAAGAAATAGTAAGTCAACATTTCACCAGTGATCGAGATCAATGGCAAAATGGCAACTAATGTAAATAAACCATTGCAGTATTCATTGCATGCGATTCACGACCGTATTCTGTTGTTCGGGATAAGGAATTTGTGGTGAAATTTATACAAGAATTTGAACCAAAATATAAACTAACCTCACCAAAATATATCGACAACATACCCGTACCCATTTTATATGAAGTGTGTAAAGAAAAACTGAAAATTATGATCGATGAAAGGGAAACGCGTATCCGTAACAACCGATATGCGGATTTAAGAGTAAACATTTACCAAATATAAATTACTCACCGCGGATGCAATTATTACTTTTCGGCGATATATCGAGCCTACGGTGTCCGGCCGGGTTCAATTTTGGGTAGATAACAGTAGATATCTTTATTACGATAATCCGAAAACAATTTGTCACAAATACGGTCATATTGGCAGTTCCTTCGTCGTCCCGAAAGAGCCTTCGCGATGAGAAGCCGATTAAAGCCGGAAAACGTAAACTATTTCTTTTAAAAATAATTTTTCATGGAAGTATAGTTTGTTTGTTAAATAAATCTGATGGTTTGCTGTTCACTTTATAAGTTAGTAATGGATTATAAATGATCGCTAGTGTCCATACGTATTATCGACGTTTTGCACAAGAGTGTCGGTAAGTATTAGTGGGTATCACCATCGATAGCGTCCGAATGCCATTAGCTTGGTTCTACTTCCGCGGCTCCGAAGTTCCTCGAAGAACATCAAATCCATATTGCATTGAATTTTTTTGGAGTTGACGGGAGTTCTCCAAGAACGCCAACGTTTACCGGAGCCTGCGAATAAAGAAGGGCTTTCTCAAGAGTTGCTTTAGCCTGGTGGCCACGGTAATCTGGCACCGTCCGGTTCGACCACGGAGTCGAAAGCCTCGAACCTCGCATACCTTATTCGCACCTCGAAACGTCGCGTACTTTTACCACAGAAACGTGCCCGGGTACTTTCTGCGTAATTTACGTATAGACTTAACGACTTTAAACTAAATAACCGCGTAAATCTTTTATCTCAGGTTTACATCCAATAATTATGTTTCTTCCCACGCAGGTTTGCTTCTACCTGATCCCCACCGCCGCCCTGTCTCTGGCGGCCTTGGTCATAGCCGTCCGTCACATTCTGCATTTCAATCGGGAGGTAAGAATCGTAATTTTACGCGGCCCAATTTTAAGTTGGTTCCACGTCCACCGATTTCCGCTTTTCTCGCCCGGCGGCGCCTTTCCACTGCGTTTTTCATGGAGGTGCATGGAATTGGAAGCCGCGAAACTTCAAATTGGCCACGTTAAGTCCAAGCCGGGTAATAATTTATGACGAGATTTAACATATTTGAATTGGTCCTAAGGACGGTGGGAGACTTTTTAAAATGTTAAATATCGGTGGCTGCCGGATTTATTTTTTGAAAAACTCTTTTCCTGGCTGTTTTCTAACCTAAGTTTGTTTGGCAGAGGGACCGGGCGCAAAGATAAATGTTACGTACGACTACGTCGGAACCATTCTTTCTTTTTCCTTTTTCTAACCTCCGGAGCCGTTTAAAATCCATTTCTTTTAATTAAACAGTAAGTAAGATATACAGTCGAGTCCGCATAAGTCGTCATAGTTTTAACTCGACATCGTCGGTTAAGTAGTAAGTTTTCTGTGGTCCCGGCCGACTTACATAGGCATTAAACAACTTTTAAAAAATTAAATAATAGACATTACATAGGCAATGTTAAAAAAACACTGGTTTACTCGACACCGTTTAACTCGTCACCACTGGATAAATCGACATACTTTTGCTGTCCCATACTCGTTTAGACGTCTGATAAATCGATTCCTCTCCTAAAAAAAAACGAGTTCACACTGCACTGTGCTGTGTGAACTCATTTTTTTTAGGAGGAGTCTAATTAGTTATTAATATATACATATTAATAAAAATGCCTTAACATTTTGTGTATTTTGATATATAAAATAATAACAGATAAACAAAAACAAAATATACAATCTATATCAACGTCACAGGAGAATCCGATTTTGCATTTTCTCACGTCATGAGTTATTTGTAGCACCTGTTTCACATTTCTGTTAGAAATGAGTGTCCGAAAGCTAACAACGCTTATGCTGAAGGAAAAATACGAAGTTGTTTCTGAATTTGAATGTAAGAAAACTTCGCAAGCCGAATTTGCAAAACAAAAAAAACCTTTCAAAAACAATATTGGTGGGAATCCTGAAGAAAAAACAGGAAATTAAGAAACTTTTTCTTGGATTTTCGTCGCTGCTGTCTCGAAAACGCCAGAGAAAGTCGCTGTACAAAGATGTCGAAGGTGCTCTCGTACGTTGGCTAAAGCAAATTCGTTCATCGAATCTCCTGTTTCGGGACCGATACTGAAACAAAAGGCGAAAGAAATTGCTGGGGTACTTGGAGTAGAAACCAACTTTAATGCCAGTGATGGATAGTCAGAGAGGTACAGTACATTGCATTACTGTATTTTCCTAATTGTAGTATTGTGGTTTTTTTCAACTTCGCTTTAGTCATCATATTGGATAACTCGACACATTTTCACTTTCCCTTGGAGTGTCGACTTATGAGGACTTGATTGTAAATTTAGAAAACTAAAAGTGTATTTTTCTCATCGCCATGTCGACTGCCACAATTATTCCTACCGACGAAGACCGATCGGACGACGATATCGTCCAAAATATTTTATTACCACTCTTAATGTAGATGCGTTTCGGGCTTTTAAGGTAAGTGCTGCGATGATACGACGAATTTTACAAACAATTATGTAAATGAAAACCAATGCCCAAACTTTACCTACCATTATATGACAAAAATAATAGAATCTCCATATATAACAACTTTTTGTAACGGTACGAACGTTGCCACCCATAAGCGCCTATCTTGAGGAAAAAATCTTACCGTACGAACAGTGGCGTAGCGAACATAACTGGCGCCCGGGGCAAGACACTTTATTCGCGCCCACGCCCCCTTCAGAAACAAATCTTGTTTGTCTTGGAGACCATTGGGCGCCACTCGCAGAGGGGCATCATAGAACCCCTTGCCCCCTCGCTACGTTAATGTATACGAAGCCGTTCATCATATACTGTTACGAGGGCCGAAACGTCTTCGGCCCTCGTAATAGTACAGTATATATGATAAACATTCTCTAGTACCTTCGCACTGGCGAAGTTATAACATGGAACCTCCGTAGTTCTGCTTTGTATACGGCGGGATGTTTTTGTTCAATTTCTTTCTGACATCGCGTGCTTTTTTGTTACCTATATATCTTATTTTATCCAATTGTTGGTAAAGAGTTTTTAAATCACAGTGCTTGACGAAGAAGGTGGGACAACCAGTCCTCACGAAATTCAAATCACGAAGCATCACCATCAACGCAGTATTTCCCGACTCGCGAACAATTGTAAACTCTCTCTCTCTCTCTCTCTCTCTCTCTCTCTCGCTCTCTCTCGCGATTACTAGATACTGTAGATAGGTTAAGTCGATATACTGTATTTGCATCATGTACTCTTTTTCGTTGAAATTAAACGGTTATTTAGTTGTTAACTTTACTTCCGTCGGGCTGTCTCTCAGTCTCCATCAGAAACCCGATCGCTTACTCAGGCGGCCGTTCGCGTGACCTAATTTTTAACCCAAACTAAACTCGCCGTCGCGGCAGCTGTGTCGACCAAGACACGGTGATGTTAGTCCTGACAAGTCATCAAAGAGGTGCCGACCCTCTGGTCACATTGCTTACTAAATTGATTTTTAAGATTTTTGGGACTATGACGTCAATTGCTGCGCACTTCTAAATTTTTTCCAAGATATTTCAATTTGTTCTTTATTCCATCCACGTGCCTTGGATAATTTGAAAAAGTCCGTTCGAAAGCCGAAAGTTCGAAAATTAATTGTATTCGATTTCTTTTTCGTTTGAGGATAATCAGATTATTTTATTAATTTTTGGAGAGTAGAATCACGCACCATCCATCAAAATGGCCGAAAAAGAAATAATAGACGTTTCTACAATCACATGTTCGGTATGTTGGGATATTTATATCCAACCGTGTTCCATCGCATGTGGCCATGTATTTTGCAACTGGCGTATCAATAAGATCACTAATGGCCGGTATCCTTTACGCCGATTTCCCATATCCATAATTACACAGCGAGATGACATCGAAGATATTATTTCTACTCAATTCGGCAAGTGTAATTCATGTGAAAAACCGATGCTTTTATCAAAATTACGTGACCACTGGAATAAATTTCAAGGGACCGAGAAAACCTCTACCACCAAGAAAAGCGTCTGCTGTGTATAGTACATTGTCACAAGAAAATTTTGGATACAAAATCTTTAAAGCGAGTGGGAAAAAATAAGGCTGGGAAATCATCCACCTGTGCCGAATGTGCTGTAAAAATATCAAAATTTTTTCACCATCATCATTTATGAAGACTACAAGAAGAATCGGAACAATTTAACATAATATATTCGAATGAATAATTTTAATGTAAAAGCATTTAATTTGAGTGAAATTATAAGAAAGAAGTTCTGTTTAGATTTAAAATAATATTAAAATTTGATAATTATTATTTATAAATATTGTTTTTATTTACAACGAAGGAAATATACACGAGAGTTTTCGTATTTATGAAGATTCTTTACAGTTGCTGTTCGTAATAACTTCTTTTTATACTATAACACACACACTTTATGTCTCTGAGAACCAATATTTATTGTTTTACAAACATTTTCAACCTGATCTATAGGCCATCGTCAGGTATTTTGAATTCTCTGAAACGTTTTTTGTATTGATTTCAGATTCGAACGATTATTTGAAAAGAAATTCAAATTTTTTATAACTTTCGAACATCTCGTTGAAACATCAAATATATCAAAAATGTAACAAATACTATAAATATGTTAAATTGAACAATTAAAATACATAGAATAAAATAAAATACAAATATACCAACACAATATACATAATTATATCGACAGAATGCGCGTTATGTATTATACCTTACTGCGTTATTTTTGATCATATATTTCCATGCCTATGCATGGGATGCATTCCACAAAGATGCCACATGTAATCCTGTGGCATCTTTGTGGTTTAAATATTTGCCAATAAGGCTGGATCTATATACAGTGGGTGATCAGTTAACGAACAGATCGGATAACGAACACTTTTGCGAAAGATTTTTATGTTCGGACAACGAACACATGATCGGATAACGAACACCCCACAGAACAAACACAAGAAGCAGCGACGTAAAATAATGAATACTGATTGGTTTTCCCTTGTCTTCGGGCAACAATTCGAAACTTTTTGGAGTGTGGGAGACGTCGACATCGACGCTCAAGCCGGTATATACCGATCGGATAGTATTCCTCCGAACTTTGAGTCTCTCCCTTGTAATTCCAGCCTTTTATTTTTCTGACAAAACAATTAGGCACTCGTTAAGTTTTGCGTCTGTTTTTCTTTTCGAAAGATGAGAGTATAATAGCAAGGTAGAGAGTGGGCAGATGTTGCTGGGCAGTATGGCGTGAACAGGTCTACAGTAGGCCTCAGTTCAATCTTATTTAAGAAAAATACTGTATAATCAAGAAGACTCAAGCAGCTAAAGCAGTAACAAAAATCACATCTGAGAAATAAAGAACATCGAAGAGTTCGTAATGGAACCTGAAACGGATCTGACGACAGAAGAACGCAAAAAACTCTTGAATGAAGAACACCAAGAAACTCGGCGAGATATGTTTTCTTCTGAAAAAGAGGATTAATGCCGATATTTGCTATTAAGAAGTGGGAAGATGTCAGAACAACGGTCTTAGAATGGCATCCAAGCCAGGTTGAGACTTGGGGATTTCTACAATTGCAATGCTATTAATTACTTACGAAAAATTGTGAAGAAGAGAGAAAAGCAATCGACATTAGACAGATTCTTTAACCCTTTCAAACGGAAAAAAACATGACTAATAAAAACGCAAGACTGTGCATGGAAGCATTTTTATTATTACATATAAATAAATATAGTAAGAAAGTATATATTTTTTTTATTTTTGGGGTCTCCAGAATGAATTAATTAAATTCCCATTAAAACCTATAGTAAATCGATAATCGGTTAACGAATAATTCGGATAGCTAACAAAGTCTTGGAACGGATTATGTTCGTTAACCGATCACCCACTGTATTTCAAACTTTTCCAAAGTCATTGCTATAGACGGTGAGAGCACAGGTCTAACAATCCTAGCCTTATTCCATTCAACAACCGAACCCTTTGTGCCACTCTGGATAGTGCCTTAGTATAGTGTCCTTTGTTTACATCGTATATTTACTTCTCTTTAAACCTTTTGCTGAAATTCCTGGTGGTGAGGCTGGTGATCATAACAACTATATATATTTTTTAATACTTTAATAACTAATTACACGGGAATAGAAACGATCTTAAATAATTTGTTTTAATCATATCAAAATACATTGGCGAATTGAGTAAAAGGCGAAAAGCCACGAATCTCCATATGAACCACAATCTACATGAACAAGAATATTGGCGAATTTATCGGTTTGTTCAGTTCGCAAATGGAAAGGTTGATGCCATTTTAGAGGTTCTAAATTAACAAACTTGAAATTTTTTTGTACAATTTTATATTTTCCACTAAAAAAGCTTAACGATTGGATTGTTGACTCAAGGTAGTGCAACACATGGATGAACTGTCAAGAGGGTGGTGTCTCCCGGGAGGATTTTCTATGAGAAACTGGCCTGTACTTAGGTGGTAAGCCCGGCGCAAACAGGTCGAAGCCCGTAGCTTTCGACATGACGTCAAATAATATAGCATGTGACGGTTTTTGACGAACTCTGATGTTCATTCCTTCCTTCGTTGTAAATAGAAACAATATTTATAAAAAAAATAATTATGAAAGTTTAATATCATTTTTAATTTAAACAGAATTTTCTTCTTTTAAGAGCTACGTCAAGAGTGATATCACGAGCCGTGACATCACTGTTGATGTAGCTCTTAAAAACCAAGGAATATTCCATCTACTTCTCTACGAAGTATCACTTGGAAGAGTTTGATTACAAAATAACGAAAATCAGCGACGACAATTGTGTTTCTTGTAGATTCTTGCTACAATCTCTTGTGTATTTCATTAGCAATAAATTAATTAATTAATGAGAAATATACAAAATATCTTTAACAATATTTTTATATATTTGATAGTTTCAATAACTGCCAGGTTTCCTTATATTTATACTTATACTTTTGCCCTATATTATTATCCAAACCCTAAAATCAGAGTCGATTAAGGTTTGTTTAGCTCAAACAATGGTCAAATCAGGGGTGGGGCAGGTGTCCTGGTATACGTGGTAGTCTATACTTTCCTTAGTGACATAGGGAATATATATGAAAAATTTGGTGCAGATCGAGCAAAAAGCTAAGAACAGAGAGACACAAACATTCTATTATCTATTTATTACTGTACAAGATTTACTGTACATGATTTATTACTGTACATGATTTATTACTGTACATGATCATACTGTACATGATTTAAAGAATTTTAAAAATGTGTTAGATCGGTTATTCGGTAAGATAACAATACGTAAGATAACCTTTATAGTTATATAAAGGTTATCTTACGTATGGGTTTATCACACCGAATGCCCATCTTAAGAATTAGGTCACCCCTTTTCCGAGGCTAATTAGGGAATTTTTAGATGGATCTAATAATATATTCGATTTCCTGCAAAAAACGCAAAATACTGCGTCTAAAATACTACAGCAGAAGCCGAGTTATTCGAGATATTCCTTAACCTCTCCCTCTTCCTGCGGGGAGAGGAATTTTCAAAACTCCCTTTTTAGTGTGCATTCTCTTCGCGTACCCTAACGGTGTACCAAATTTCAACTTTCAACTCATAACCGTTTGGGCTCTGAGATTATTATTATCAAGCCATCTCGATTATATATATAGATTATCTAGCAAGGGGGTAGAGTTCGAGTGTCTGCTTAACAGAGCACGCGACAACGGAGCAGTCGGTCTAAGTGAACACTCTTCCACGATCTCGATTTTGTCCCCTTTGTTTTATGTTAGCGACATTCTGTTAACAGAAAACAGCGGATAGTAGAGCGTCCGTTTAGAGTAGTGTGGCGTTGGCGGCAATGGGCGTAAAAGATTGTCATTGTAAAAAATATTTAAAATGGGGTGTACACTCTTGCTAACATCCTCGTGTACAGCACTGGATTTCCCACCTTCAACATCTATTACGACACGGTACAGCAGAGATACGGCCTTAGCAATATTTGTGGCTTTTTCTACAATACTTTCAATAGATTTATTTAAAATCGGTATTACCGCGGAAGGTGTGCGGCGGCGCTTCAACTCTGGGCTTTTTTGAACAGACGCTCGCCGTAGACATTTGCAAAACATGAAATTTTTTGTCGCCGACGAAACTGCCAACGGAAAACGAAGGCCAGGCCGGTCACGCGCCCAGAAATTCCCTTCTCTAGTTTTATTATTAAAGCTTTAATAATTTTTTCAGAGCCAAAAATTCCCGTTCCGCCGAAATATAAAAGAAATCGTCGGCATATTTCGCTAAACACGGCTTTATTCCCGGGAAGACGTATTTTTCCACGGCGGGAGCGGGCCCGCGCTTTTTAAAATATAAGGAAAAGGTTAAGGTGGCCGGTAAAGGGCGGACGAAATAAAATATTTAGATGGCAGAAACTTTATAACTCGATTAAAATTTAATCGGTGGGACTTATTGTAATTAAAGTCTTTTAGACGAGCTCCACCCGGTGGGCAACTGATAATAATTCTATCGTTTCAGGACCCAACGAGTATTCTACACAGGTTGGGAGCCGTGGCGGCCGTTAACGCAATTTCCTTTCTCGTTCAGGTAAGTGTCCGTGGGCCACGTTAATCCGAAGAATCAACGGAAGCTAATCTGTCGCTCTATATTTCAGGTAACCACCATAACGGCAGGTATTATGGACCTAGTCGAATAGCGTCCAGTCGTCAGTCCGACGACTCGTGCGCTGCCGTCCTTTTAATGTTGAAACCCGCAATTCGCACGGTTCGTCCTTCTTTACCCGTCGTAACTGGTAAAACGTCCAAATGAATTCTCTACAGCAATAAACTTTAAGAACCCATTAACATTTTCCTTTTAATTAAACGTTCAGTTACTGGTTGTGGATTTTAAAGAATTTAAAGCTATTGGCTTTTTTCCAGTAACATATCGTATAAGGAGCAGTTGTTGATATAGGTTTTATTGATAAAAGATATGCATTTCGAGTCTTAATAACCCCTCATAAAGCCTATAACAACAAATCCTTGCACGATATGTTACTGAAAAAAAGCCAATAGATTTTCCTTTCTTTATTTTAACTGTTAGTGACGTAATCATCCGGGATTCACCTTTAAACCGACGAGTTAGTCTATTGGCGGGATCGACTGTGGCCGGTGCAGACGCGCCAAATGAAACGATCTGCCGCCGTTCGTCTTTCTTTTCGTGACAGAGGAATTACATTGGGTCTCAGATACTGCTCAACGCAATGGTCAAAAAGCGTAAGGGATTAAACGTCTGTTTGTATTTTTCTAAGCTAAATTGTATCACCACTTTTCAAATTATTCCCGAATAAAAACGTTTGGAAATATCTGTCCGGTACGTTTGTTATACCTTACGAAAGTTTTATCATCTGCCACGGCCGTTTCGGTGGGCGGGAACCCTTTTTGCACACCAGCGTCTAGCACCCCGAACCAACGTTAGTTCTAAATTATGCCGATATGGCTAACGGCGCCAACGGCCGGAACCGGATTTGTATCGGCTTCGGATCATAGTTACACACTGTCAATACTTTATTCGTAATTTCTATTAGTTAAAAAGGAAAATAAGTTAAATTTTTAGATCACTTATGATTTTTTCATACGCAATGTCGGCCTTTTCGTCCGATCCGAAGAGTAAAATAGCACGTTTATCATTTGTTTATCGTACCGTCGATGTGGTCCAACCAGCGCCGTAATTGCCTTTTATGCGCCCGGTTCGAGCTTCTTAAGCGCCTTTGAAAAATACTCTAATCTTACTCGACTCTGGAAATTGTCTATAAAAATAAATCTAAAAACTAAATTTTTATTTATAGGTATTTATAGGTATTTAATTAGTAGAATTTAGAATATATTTAGTAAAAAAAAAACGTTTATTCGAAAATATTTGCCAAAATACACAATAATATAATACAAAAATGACATCAGACACTCGTTAGTAGAGATAGTAAAGACCCAAGGCTAAGGCAAACCGTAAACGCAAACAAACAGAAAAAAAAAACTACCTAGGTACAATACTTATAGATTTACTTTCGCGCTTTCCTCATTGCGAAGTCTTTGATGATATTGTCATATGACAGAATCCGTGCTGTGTCGCGTTCAATCGACAAAATTGTTAACCCAGACAATCTTTCTTGGCCCATCATCGAGCGCAGGTACAGTACAGTACGTCTTTATCAATTTGAACTTACTAAATGACCTGTAGGAAGCTACAGTCACTAGCATCGTTAAAAAAATCTTTATCGCGACTACTAAGTTGGGAAACAATTCTTTTAAATCCAGTTCTACTATAGCTTTAAGACGACCCAGACTTGACTGACACTCACATTTATCATATAATGCGGTCGCTACAACTTGACTGTTCAAAGTTTCTAATTCGGCCCAAAATTCTGTGGCATTTACATATGTAGAATATTTGATACTAAAGTCAGCAGCATGTTTTTTTAGTTCTTCAACCGAATATGTAGTTATGCCTTGTACCGTCAAAAAATTGAAAAAGTGGTAAATGTTGCGTAATTTTTCGTATCGCCATTTGAATTCAGAAATTATTCTATCTATTGTTTCATTTATCTGAATTTTGAAATTTTGTTATTGGGTAATGTCATAGCCAGCGTCTAACCTTTCGCTTAAATCGTGTCTTTTTATTCGCTTTCGTCGCTTTTCCGGAAAATTGTCTTCAATGTCTCATTCTTCACAAACTTTTTTTGCCTTTTCGAAAACATTGTCCACAGTCTTGCGAATATTTTGAATCTACCTTGTTAATCCCTTGATTAATTCAAAGGCTTTGTCAATAGTACAGTAGAGCGTCGTTTATTCGAAAGTCGGTTATCCGAAACGTCGGTTATCCGAAAGAATTCTAGTCGGCAAATTTAAATTTTCGCTAGTGCTGTGGCGCTGCAATCTTTGGCTATATCTTGGGCTACTTCAATATTCTTTTTGTAGATGTGTTTTTTAGCTGGCAGCACTGGCACTTTTGTGTAGTGTTTTTCTGAGGACAATGTGTGGTGCTGAATCAAACGTTTTTGATACTAGATTAACTTCTAAAGTATAATTTTTTTTGTTTTCATATTTTTCAATATATTTATTTTGTTTAGATGTAAAAAATAAAAAAATAATTTTTAACGATACAATAGTCACGATTATTATTTTAAAAAGTTTACGTTAGGCTTAACATAGACGAAAATTCAACGCGAAGCGACACGCAACGGAGAAAAATTTCAGCACGGGATAGGTTAATATATTTTTTCGTACATAATCGGTTATCCGAAAAATAAGTTATCCGAACAACCCCAGTTCCCAAATGATTCGGATAAACGACGCTCTACTGTAATGGTTTTTGACTGTAGAGCTACATTCACTCTGTCAACAGACTAAAACTTGATCCCAAATTTGCAGAGTACATATGAATTTGTAGTTTATTAGGTCCATTATGCTTTTAGCTGTAGCGATTGTTTCCGCATTATAATCGTTGGTAGTTAGAGCCTTTAGCACACACAGATTTGGGGAATTTGCATGTTTAAAGCTTTGACGGCCCTAGCGTTAGAGGCCTATCTAGTGTCAGCGTGTTTTTTCAAAGAAATATATAAATGTTTCATTAAAGTTTCCCATCTGAACTCGAAAAAAAAACCATAGAAACTCGAAAAAAAAAAAAAAAAAACAAATATTTTCTGGATTATTCAAAAAAAAATAAAAAAGTGATCATGTCGGTGTCACACTAGCAGCGTGTACGCCAGATAAATTCAAAGAATGCGCTTGCACACGGCACGTAATCAACATTACCACTAATTTGTTTTATTTTGGCTTTGAAACTGTTATATTTACCGGCCACATTACTACCATTGTCGTAGCCTTGGCCACGAACATCTTGAATGTTCAATCCGTCAACTTCTAATTTCTCTAAAATTTCTTTCGATAAACCCTCGCCCGTTTTTTCAAGAGACTTGATGAAATCTATGAAATGTTCTTCGATTGTAACTGTTTGCTCGGATATTTTTACGAATCTCAATATTTGTGACATCTGTTCTTGATGCGATATGTCTGGCATACAATCAAAAAGCATTGAAAAGTATTTTGCCTCACGAACGTCGTCTAAAATTTGTTTTTGACCTCAGACACAAGAATATCCACTAGCTCGTTTTGAATATATGGCGTAAAATATGAAATATTTCCTTTATCGGGCGATTCGATGTGCGCTCTAAGTTCAGGATTGAATTTTAAAATCATATCCACGGCACTTAGGAAAACTCCAGATCCTAACACTTTAACCTTAGGTTCATTTCTAGCCATGATTTTTGGAAACTTCATGCTCTTTTAAAGTTTTGCCGAGGGGCTTCCAACTTTTAAAACCCTCCTTTGAAAGAGAACTAACTATACAGCCGAAAATTTTGCAACAGAAGCAGTAAACGCGGTTTCGTGAAAGAGAGTACACTAGCCAGTCTCGTAAAATTTGCTCTCCATTGCTTAAAATTCGTGTATAATAATTTACGCTAATATATTGACCAGTGTCATTGGAAGGAAATTTGTAATTATGCGATGGTTTAGGTGGACCTTGTCTTACTAAAAAACTTCTTTAGGCATCTCCTAAAATTCTTGGCCACAATGCTGGACCTGTACTCAAAGTTTCTGTAGAACGCTTTCTGTGGGAGTCACATTGGTGTCAATTTTTTTCAATGCTATCATCTGGTGATGATAAAGTCAGAGTGTTGTCAGTTCTAATTGATTTAGAAACTTCGTCCATTTGTTCGTCATCACCATCCTCTGACGATTTTATATTTTCTTTCATAACCGGACTTAATGTTGGATTTTTAGAGTCGCCATTTGTTTTGGTACAACTCTGGATATAACTTTTTAACGCGCCAGCTTGTTTTTGCCTTTCGGCTTCCTTTTCAAGCCTTCTTTTTTTTGTACTGGTAACCAGACAGTTTCTTTGACCGTTAGACATTCTGTAAGAGGTACGCACGTAACTCAAACAATGTAAACTATAAACTTAAGGTGACCAACTTTTTTACAATGAAAAGGAGAACACTAATAAATTGAAGGAAAAAATATCGTAAATATGAAACATTTTATTCATTGCAACAATACAGTAATACACTATAATAATGTCTACTGCATGCATGGGTGCCATGTCATGTTTCGATAAGAAGTAAACAAAGTCATTTGCACACACTCTCTCTTTCTCTCTCTCTCAAGGTCTCCTGTGCGAAAAGCATGCGTCTCATAATTGCATCTCATCGCACTGTACAGAGCCTTGATGAATCATCATGTTAAATACAAACACGTCATATCACATCACATGCAACAGACGGTTTGGCATTGATTGAATACGGAGATTTACAGATTAGTCTGCAAATATCAAAAAGGAGGATATGTAGGAGGACACTTTTTGAGGGAGAACAGAACTTACAAAAGGAGGACTGTCCTCCCTAAAGGAGGACGATTGGTCACCTTATTATTTGATCTTCCCTTCCAGACATATTAATTATGATATTTAATCTGGCAATAATTTGGTATATTACTAAAATATTGGGCTTGAGGATGTTTATATATGTATTCCCACTAAGTTGTAAGATTATCAGTTTTTCAGAGTAACAAATTTTGAATGCACTGTGGAAAAACTACTAACTTGAAAAAAGTGATAAGCAAAAGAAAACATACAGATAAACTTGGGAAAATTTTTCTTTTCTTTGATGATGGCTTAATCAAGGTGGTTAAGGTGTCAACCTATCACTCTTAAAAAACCAGAATTAAGTTCTGGGGTGAGCAACTTTCCAGGAATTTTTTANGAGTAAAGAATAGCTTCACTTTCTCATGTACAAATACTGTTTGCTGTTTGCGTATTAATTTTTTAAGTTTAGTTTCTAAGATGAACAGTTGTATACATTTATATATATTAAGTACATCAAACTTTTAAAAATTAAGCGCACACAACTTTCATATATTAAGTGCATTAAACATGCCTCATAGGAATTTGTAATACTGCTAAAACGCCCACTAGGGGGCGACCCGGGCTACTAGTTGTCGTATAAACTATTTGCCAGTGGTTCTTAACCAGTGTTCTACGAAAGAAAAGATTTTAAAGTTTTTATTCAAATTTATTTCTATTGCTATATTCGTAGATAATTACACGTTTCTATTTTATTCTATATATTAAAGTTTATACGTTTCATTGTTTCCTGAGAATAGTAAACATGGAATTGCTTATCAATTTTTGAATGTATTGATGTTAATGCTCCGTGTAATAAAAAGTACGTATATGAATAGTGTTTCGCGGCCTCAGAAAGGTTCAGAACCACTGGTCTAGACGTTTGTCGGTAAGACGCGCGCGACTCGCGCCGGTTTGCAGTTGCTGGAAATTGCTAGATGTGACCATTGATTAACGGTTAAAATTATTCACTTCTATATGACTTGCAAGGATTAATTTTTCACAAGAAAAAAAATTCTGTTCTAAGAAAATTACTATTAAAAATGTTCGAAAGTTATCGCAAGTTCAATAAAAAGTTACCTAATTTTATGCAAATTAAAAAGTTTAACAAATTTACTATACTGTCGCTTTCAATTAGGCCCTGTACACACTAGGCGTTTTTCAACGCGCGTTTAACGCCCTANTCACACGCAACGGATCGGTTCGGTATTGCTTGAATACGGAGATTTACAGATTAGTCTTCAAATATCGAAAAGGAGGACATAATCAGAGCTCTTCAGAGCTACTTCTTGCTAAACAATTAATTGGAAAAAATTACTGTTACGATTTTCCTGTAAAACATAATTTAATTTCAAAAATAACAAACAGAGTGTTAAAAAACATACAAAAGGAAGATATTGAATAATAATTATTATTAATATCCGAAAAATAAAAGATAATACTGTATGTTAGAAAAATAAGACAAAATGTACCTACGTAATTAGTAAATTATTACTTTTTTACATAAGTGTTCTGTGTTAGTTTTTTGTTTTTTATTATTTGGTTAAAGTCCAGATACGTATACTGTCATGGCGGCTCATCTCTGATTCCAGCAAACAGTGGGGACGCACGTTCTAACCTAACCTAACCTATTGTAATAATTTGGTTGGTAGTAATTATGGTAATTTATTAGAATAGGTTAGATTAGAACGTGCGTCCCCACTGTTTCCTTTCTTTTGTTTGCTGGAATCAGAGATGAGCCGCCATGACGGTACACGCATCTGGACTTTAACCTATTGTTTTATAGTGTATAATAAAATAAATGACAAAAAAGAATGTTATTGTTTATGTGCAACCTCCTTTTTGCCACAAAAAGTCTATTTACCAAAAACTACCGAAATCTACCGAAAATTTCTTAAGGAATCTACCGATGGCAAGCAAATCGACGTGGCAACATTGGGTACAGTACATGTTAATTCACGAGAGTTTCCACTATCTATATATTACAGTGGCTAGAAAATATAGTGTCGAAAGCGCTTATATTCCTCCATTATAACCGTTCGGTCCATACATCGAGGTTAGTGACGTCACAGACAAGGTGGCGCTGATGTCAATCGTAGTGCTACTTTCGCTTTGGCTACGTGATATCCTTTCTTACAAGAACATCGAAAGCGATTAAATTTGTGCTTGTAAAGTGAATAAATCCTTAGGAAATGGCTGAACAGAAACTTTACTGACTTGTGTATTTCTAATTTATAGATATTACTCTACTGTAATTTTTAATTCTTTTATTTTTGTCGAAAAGGGTGAGAAATCTACATGCATATTAATCTGTAATTTTTTAAGAGAGATTTTTCAAATATAA